GTGGGATCCCTTGGGAGGTGTAAGAGATAAGAAAAATAAAATCATTTCCTCCCTCCTATTGACCATTCTGAGGGAACGACGTTTTGTGGGCCAGCAAGACTGTGGACAAAGGGAAAAGAGTGACTTCCTCTGATATCTCTAGTCCTGTGGATATCAAAGGTAACCGTAGACTGCTGTGTGTTTCAGAAGAAGCAAAGAAGTTGATGAAGCCCTCCTTTTGTGTCAGACTATCACAGAAGATGTGCTTAGACACAATTCTGGGACTTCGTACTTCCTACTTTCTTGCCTTTCGTCCTTTCTTCCAAATGTTCCTGTTGAACTCTTACACATTCATCCAAACCTGCCTCAAAAATTTCTTCCTCAGTAAAGTCTTTCATGGTCCTCTGTGCTCATTCTGCTACCCTTGACAGAGCTGATTATCCCTCCTATGAGCCACTCACGTAACTTGTATATAGAAGCATACTTTGGAAATATTGTGGTCTCAGTTCTAGACCACTGCAATCAAGCCAATATCCCGAAAAAGTGAGTTAAATGAATTTTTTAGTTCCCTACTGCATATGAAAGTTATATGTACACTATACCATAGTCTAGTAAGTGTTCAATAACATTGAGTCTGAAAAAATGTATGATTTTTTTAAAGATTTTATTTATTTATTTGACAGAGAGAGAGGGTTCACAGGTAGGTAGAGAGGTAGGCAGAGAGAGCGGGGGGGTAAGCAGTCTCCCTGCTGAACAGAGAGCCCAATGAGGGACTCGATTCCAGGATCCTGAAATCATGACCTGAGCTGAAGGCAGAGGCTTAACCCACTGAGCCACCCAGGTGCCCCCAAAATGTATGTATCTTAATTTAAAATGCTTCATTGCTTAAAAATGTTAACCATCATCTGTGCTTCCATGAGTCATAATCACTGATAACAGATACCCATAACAAATACAATAATAATGAAAAAAGCTTGAAATAGTATAAGAATTACCAAAATGTGACAGAAACACAAAGTGAACGAAATGTTGTTGGAAAATGGTGGTCAATACACTGGTTCAGTGCAGGGTTGTCTCAAACCTTCCATTTTTAGAAAATACATCTGCAAAGTGCAAGGAAGTAAAGCACAGTAAAATGAAGCATGCCTTTAATTCTAATGATAAAATTTATCCCTCTGCATTTCCATTATTTGTAATGATTGTGTCTTTGTTAAAATATGATCACCTTTAAGTCAACAATGGCATCTTATTCATTCTTTTTTTTTTTTTAAGATTTTATTTATTTATTTGACAGACAGAGATCACAAGTAGGCAGAGAGGCAGGCAGAGAGAGAGAGGAAGGGAAGCAGGCGCCCTGCTGACCAAAGAGCCCGATGCGGGGCTCGATCCCAGGACCGTGGGATCATGACCTGAGCCGAAGGCAGCGGCTTTAACCCACTGAGCCACCCAGGCGCCCCGGCATCTTATTCATTCTTATATCCTTAGTTAGACACGGGCCTAGTAAATATTTTTTGAATAGAAATACACTCCACACCAGGAAAATCATATTTAAACTCATTGGGAGGTGCGCCTGGGTGGCTCAGGTCGTGATCTTGAGGTCCTGGGATCAAGTCCCTCGTAGGGCTCCCTGCTCAGTGGGAAGCCTGCTTCTCCCTCTCCCTCTGCCCCTCCCCCCTAACTCATGCTTTCTCTCTCTCTCTCTGTCAAGTAAATAAAATCTTTAAAAAAAAAAATTAAAACTCATTGGGAGTGTTTAGAATGCCACATCCATATGTCATTAGTGACATATGGTTATTAACTTTAAATTCATTAAACTTCATTAAACTTAACTAAAATTTAGTTCTTCAGTTCCATCACATTTCTAGTGCTCCTACCTGGATATGCTCATGAGTACCATATTAGACAGTGCCAATACAGGACATTTTTTAAAGTTGAACAATGTTATAGCTTCATTTTTTTTTATGGACAAATTTATTCTTTTTGAAGTGTAACAAATCACAGTGGTGGGATGACCCATTATTTTACGGCCCTGCACCATATGGCAAAGATGAGAGATGCTATGGAGGTTCAGTGATTCTTCATTGTTGGACACAAATGCATTCTTTCTAAAGAGCTGCAGACAACACATGGAGAAGAATGGAAAGTTCACCTTTCTTATTTACAAGCTGTGTGTCAATGGGAGAGCTACGTGACTTCTCTGAGGCTTCATTTGCTCATCTGTAAGAGATATTAAATAACCATACATAGTCCACAGGGCCATTGTAAGTATTAAGTGAGACACTGTATGTACAGTTAAGACATTGTATTGAATAAATGACAGTAATTCTGTTTATGTCACCTGCATCTCAGGACAATGACTTATTACCACAATGCAGAGGCACCACTGAGAGCCATGAAGAGACTCCCTTCTCAGTTTTTCAGACTACCACCTTTGGCCTTGACATGCTTTGAGTTGTACAGTTGCATAGTGGTAAACTATGGTGGAAGCAAAGGCTGACCCTAACTCGATCAACACACATCAGAGTTATAACTCTGACTCTGCACATACCATGTCTGAATTTCACCACCTGTGAAATAGAAACAGTACATTCTCATGGGATTTCTGTGATCAGCAGATACGGACCAGGAAGAGCCTGGCACAGAAGCTTTGTATTCACTGAATAAGCTCCAGAAATAAATATCTGTTGCTGTTGTTATCTTTCTACCACATCTTGAGTCATATTTACAATATATCAAGTGCTAGTTTATTGAATGAATGAATGAATAAATGAATGAATGAGATGCTGAATCAAGAAATAGCCTCTCCTACCTATTTATTGCCCAATGCCAGGCTGTGAATAACTATCACTCATGATCACTTCATGGAAGTCCAACATGTGATTAAATAGCTCACACAAAGCCCTGTGTATTTCAGGTTGTAATTGTCATAAAGGAGAATATGACTTTGACTACAAGAGCTCAGAGCTCTATGATCTGATTCTCATGATTATTCAAATATTATTTTTATTTTCTGCCAAATTTGTGTAAAATACATAGTTACCCATTAATATTGACAGTGTAAGTTTTCTGTTTACAATTTGATTTTTAACACTACCCATTTCTTTAAATAAGCAAACTCTGCTACACTCAAAACATTATAAAAATAGCCCCATGTTTCCTAATGGAAAACCAGATTCAGTTAATTCTTTGACCAAGTTTCATCGAATATTGTTTTATTTGTCAGCACCTCTGATCAATGCAGAAAAGCCTAAAATAATTGGGTTTCAGAAAAAGTGCCTGGGATGACATAGGATGTAGATGTCATGTTTATCTGTGGCTGGTGACATTTGTTTAATAATCCTACAGATACAGTTATGGTGCTGGGCTTATTAGTTATTCTCCAAGTGTCCTGACCAGATCCTTTTTTCTTCCACCTCTGTCCTGCCCCAAGAAGAACATTCCTTTCTCAAGCTTTCTTGATGGTTGTCTTCCCTTTAGGCTTCATCAGTGGGAGGGTCTGATGTAGGAGGAGAGAAGAGGACATACCTTGCTTCAGTACCCAACCTCTGGCAGATGTGGCGTCCTTCCCAGAACATAGTTCTCCAGGCACAGAAATCCTCCAAGGTTGTCCTCTCACACGGCTCCAGAAGCTCAATTCTTTCCCTACCCTCATAGCCATTTGGGAGGCAATGGCATGACAATGGCTTTCTACCATTGCTGTCTCTTGGTGCCTCGTCGTCCCTTGTTTGGTGCAGTAGATTCTGCACACGCTCTAGAATAGTCCCTTCATTAACTATCTTCATTTGACCTCTCAGAGGTAAATTCTGTTTTCTGCCAGATCCTGACTTTCACAAAGATTAAAAGAGAAAGTTTGGTTGCCATGTGTTTACCAGGTATTTGACTATGGGAAACTTACTTAATTTCTCCTAACTTCAGTCTACTTTTCTACAAAATGGGAATAACAATAGCCTTTACTCATTTACTCTATAGGGCTATGAAGTAGCTATGTAATAATGAGAGAGAATCTCATGACTTCTCCTGGAAATCTTGTGTTGTTATGCTTTTGTGTTCTGAGAGAGAAATAATGAGGGAGAGTCATAGTTCAACTGCAAGGGAGGGCCGCTTGAAAATATAATGAAGGAAGACAAAGAACTGCAGAAAAACTTGGCTGGAATTCTGATCAAACTGTACCTAAAGGCTCTTCTAATAGTAGGACCCTTTGGGTTTTCCTTTTTGGTTTAAAGCAGTTTGGATTTGGGGCTGCCTGGGTGGCTCAGTCAGTTGAGAGTCTGACTCTTGATTTTCAGCTCAGGTCATGATCTCAGGCTCATGGGATTGAGCCCCACATCAGGCTCTATGCTCAGTGAGGAGTCTGCTTGTTCCTCTCCCTCCTTGTCTAAACCTCACTCTCCACGTGTGCATTTGTGTGTGCATGCCCTCTCTCTCAAGTAAATAAATAAAATCTTCTTTAAAAAACCATCTTGGATTTGGTCATCAATATTTGCAACCATAAAACAACCAACGTTGTAGACAGAACAAACTATCCTCACATGTTATTCAATTAGATGTTGGGAGCATCAATGTAGTTTTTGGTAAATCTCTATTTTTTGTAAATCAGCCTACTCCCCAGGCCCACTGAGTGGTCTGCTTTGATAAGTCTTTATAAATCCTGAAGAAAAAAGTTCTAAATTTGAAGGTTTAACTAAGTACAATAAATATTTCTAATACATCTAGTAATTATAGAAATATTCAGGTGAGCAGCCTGATTATACACAAGATATTTTAAGACTGATTTAGTATTTTAATACCTGAAAATACCAGCTTTCTAGACCAATCGGGAAAAAAATCAGCTTTGGGCTTTATCAGCTTAGCACTGATCATAGATAATGTAAGTTATAATACACGAATGTCAAAAAACAGGAGTAAAAAAAATATCTGAGAACTTGAAGAGATGTGCTATATTTGTCTAGAACACAATGTCTGCTCTCTTCAGAAGATGGGGTTTAGGGAAGATTTACAATTACACTTTTATACAATGGTAATTTTGAATGTATTTGTAAATTTATTTTTTTCAAAATGATGACATAAGCAAAAATTTTACATAGCCTTATTGAATTTACATATTCAAATGAGGCTTTACCAATAATAACGGGGATTAACACAGAGCTAGACAGAACTTGAAGTTTGACTTTATGTCAAAGGGTCTAACACCCTATGAGCTACCGAAGATGGACACTTTTTTATTTGAATCCTTCTAAGAATTAAATACGAAAAGCTTTACTAAATTGTTGACATATATATATATATTTACTCCAAATTTTAAGTTTAAGGGAATAAGAGTATCTGCAATAGCTCAGTTAACATCAACAGAAAGCTTCAAAAAAGAATTCTGAAAATGGCAGGCAAAATATTTTTTTATTGTAGGCAATTATTTCAACTGCATATTCAGCTTTATGTATTACAAATCATGTGGGAAAAAGATCCACATTGCAGTTAAGTTTCCAGTATCTAGCTTTCTTTTTTTTTCTTTTTTGAGCAATGATATTAATGGGATTTCTGCCAGGTTATAAAAATGAGGGCTTTCTTGGGAATTATTTATAATTTCCAAGCTGGATGGCAGAACGCACATAGACACATCGGAAGGTGGATGGCTGGATCTCCCAGTACTGGACTGGGTTGCTGAAAAGGCTCACACCTGAATAAGAGGCCTTTTTGGTGTTGTATCCAGGTGGGCAGAAGTCGTTAGACCCAACTGCAGAGATATTGTTGTTATGAAGGTAGACAACCTGCAAAATGAAATAATGGAGAGTGATTATTTTCCTCTAAGTAGATGGGGCCATTCATGTAAATACTTTATTCTTTTCCCTTTATTCTTTATTCTTTATCCTTGACCCTTCCTTTCTCTTACACTCTCCACCCAACCATCAACAAATGCTACTAGTTTAATCTTCAAAACGTACATGTGACCCAGTCCTCTCCCCTTATCGACTCCTACAACATTGTCCAAAACTGCCATTATCTCCTCCAGGATGATTGAAGTCATCATTCCTGCTTCCTCTTCTGCCCTAAAATCAATTTTCCTTCCTTAGTTCATAGAGCAATTATTTCAAAAAGTAAGCCAAGTTATATATTCTTCCCTCAACACTCCAGTGCCTTCCTGTCTCATGCAGAATAAAGGCCAAAGTTCTCACATTGGCTCACAAACCTAACAGGATCTGACATCCTTCTGCTCTGATCTCATCTCCCCTCGCTATTCAATCTAACCACTCTGCCCTACTTGTTTTTCCTCTATTACGAAAATCACAATCCTTCTTTTGGTTGGCACACGTTGTTTCCTCCATGTGGACTGACCTTCTCCAGGATGTCTCCGTAGCTTACTCCCTCATGTGATTCATGTAACTTTTTCTTACCGAAGACCTCATTCCTGACTATCCAGGGCTGCACTCTTCTGCCCTAATTCACTTTTTTAGATCTTCATAGTAATTATCACTATATAGCTTATTATATATTTGTGTGTTTTGTCTGAATCCTCCTCTAGAATAAAAGCTCCATGAGGAAAGAAACTTGTTCTGTTTTGTTCATGACGTATCTTCAGTGTCTACTAAGACTGAGTAGGTGTTCAGTAATAATGTTGAATGAATACATGAGTAATTTCATGCTATCTCACAAGCTGTGTCTCCATGGAATATTGCGCTTTTGGGGCAAAAATAAAGTGATGCACATTTTAACAAAATTATACAAAATGAGGAAGTAATATACAGTGAAGAAATAGTGTACAGGCAGCATTAGAATCAAAATAATCACAAACCCTAAGAAACACTGAGTATCAGCATTTGGGATGAACAGACCTAGAAAGTTTAAATGAAAATGCACTATGTGTTACAAATTCTACCTTATGAATATAATTCTACTGTTCAGTAGGATTTTTTCCGAAATGCATTTTATGATTATGTTTAAGATAATGGTAACACGTTCATAGATTTTCCTCGGGGAAATTAAGTATCAGACTTATGAAAAGGACTTTAGAAATGGGTTTTTACTTCTATCGTGTACATGTGAATTTTGAAGAGCAAGAAGTGACTTATACAACCAAAGCTAAAATATAGAAAGAGAAAATTTCTAAAGTACCTTGTAAAACCTATGAGGTGTTCCCTCATAATAATTAACTTAAAATATCGTTGCATTTACCAGAACACTCACTTATATGCAGGGGAAAAGGGTCTTGTTTAAGAAAGAGTTTGGAAGGAGAACAATAGATATCACATAAAAACAGAAGCGAGGGATATTAAGCCAAACAATACGTCCAAGTATTTTTTTAATAATTCTCAAACTGAAAATTTCTTTTCATTTGCCATTCTCTAATTACTAGCAAAAATTAGCAAGAAAGGGGAAACACATTTGGTTAGAGTTTATGACTAATATTGAAGGCAAGAGAAAAAAATATCAAGACATAAAGCAAGTATCAGTCTGTGTAAAAAAGAAAACTCTATTCCCAATTCATTTTATGAAGTCAGTATTTTCTAATATTAAAGCCAGACAAAAATCATCACACACATACACATACAGCCTACAATCAAGTATTTCATATAAACATAGACAAAGAACTTTAACAAAATATCAGGAAACTGTATCTCATAACATTAAAAAAAAATCTATACACCATGACCAAGATGAAGCATGATTTATTCAAGGATGTAAAACTCATTTAGCTGGAAATTAACTAACTTAATATACTATATTAAAGGAATAAAAGGCAAAACCACACGATAAGCTCAACAGACACACAAAAAGCATTTGAATACACATCCATGATAAAAATTTTCAATAAGCTTAAGAATAAAAGAGAACTTTTTCAACTTGATTAAGAGCATCTACAAATATCTGTAGTTAACATCATGCTGAAATGTAAGAGTTTGAGTGTCTACTTGTGGCAGAAGATGAGATTGAAAATTGACTAGAAAAAGTAAGAGGAATATTTGGGGGTAATAGAAGTGTTAGAACTGGATCGTGGTGGGGGTGCCTGGGTGGCTCAGTCCCATCAATGTCTGCCTTCAGCTCAGGTAAGGATCTCAGGGCAGGGGTCAAGTCCAACGTCAGGCTCCCTGCTCAGAGGGGAGCCTGCTTCTCTCTCTGCCCATCCCCTGCTCATGCTCACTCTTTCTCTCTCTCAAATAAATAAAATAAAACAAAAAAGAACTGGATTTTAGAGATGGTTGAAGAATGATATAATTTTGCTAAAAATAACTGAATTATATACTTACAAAAAAAACAGTAAATTAGGTGAAATCCCTAGAAGCCTATAAGAAGGGAGGTGAAATTGATGCATGGATAGCCAATTAGAGAAGAAGAACCAAGAGTGAGTCCCTGTGTGAATCCTCATGAGATTTGCTGATATTCAACAAAGATTTCAAAATAGCCATACCATGTTTTATAATTTTTTTCTCTGTGACCCACACTAAGAAACACAATACATGTATTTAATATAGATAAATCTGTGCATTTAAACAAAGTCTTTATGAAATACTTACCATTACATTGATATTTTATTTTCCATTCATTCTAACCCATCTGAGCCAAGCCTATCCCATAAATGTTCTAAATTAACTCATTAAACTTATTTTATGAACTCAGTAATACAACCAGACTAACATTTGAAAAACAGCAATCAAGAAGGTAAAACTGATTATTCTAGGATATAAAAATGAAAACAAAACAACTGCCCCCCCACAAAAAAAATGCCCACCACCAACAGAATCCTTATGTAAATCATGATGTATCAATCTCATTTGGAATTTTTGTCACAACTGAATAAAAAAAGAAGAGAGATCAGTAACATACTGACATAACTGACAGCAAGTAAGGGATAAACCTATCTTGAACCCCAACCAAAGAAGTGGAAACATTACCAAAATGGCAACTTTATAAAAATGATTTATTTATAATAGAACATCATTGTCAAAGTATAATTTGTTTTTTTACAAAATTTATTTATTTATTTGAGAGAGAGAGAATGCAAGCACAGCAGAGTAGGGCAGAGGGAGAGTGAGAGAATCTTAAGCAGACTCCACGCTGAGCACAAATCTCATGTGGGGCTCGATCTCACAACGGTGAGATCATGACCTGAGCCAAAACCAAGAGTCTGACACCTAACTGACTGTGCCACGCAGGCATTCCAACATATAATTTCTGAATCGCCATTACTGAACTAAGTACCTATGTAAATTTCTGAAAGAGAGAATTTAAATATGACCTTTAAAGAAACTGAAAAATTAGATAAAACAAGCAAATACATTAAATTTATGAATAACCCCCTTATTAATTTTTTAAATAAAAAATTTGAATAACGTATTTGTTGTAGTTACTCAAAGAAACAATGGAAGTCTTATGCTATCATGTATGAAAATATTGTTATTATTTAAATAATGAACATGCCATACATTTATAGATTTACAGACTAGAAACCTCTTTTACCACAGTGGACCCCTGGATGGTATCTTCTTATTCTTATGAATGTACTATAACTCAATAATCTATATAAAGTTAACTCAGTCACACTGCCAGCTAAATATTCCCTTTGACCTACGTGACATCTGTTGAAGCTAAAAGTTATAACTGCTATTTTATTCCATATCTATGGTTCACAGATTATACCATCATTTTCAATCAGTATGTTTCTGTTACAGTGATCTATGACTTCAAACTATCTTGCCTGCTTCATTAAAAATATTATATTCTGGAAGTCAGCACTATAACTAGTTTAAGGTAACAGTCTTATTTTAAAAAATAATAATTTAGACCTATGTTTTTCAGGATGCCTTGGTGGCTCAGTGGGTTAAAGCCTCTGCCTTCGGCCCAGGTCACGATCCCAGGGTCTTGGATGGACCCTGAAGCACTGGGTTCCTTGCTCAGCAGGGAGCCTGCTTCTCCCTCTCTCTGCTGCTCCCCCTACTTGTGCTCTGTCTCTCTGACAAATAAATAATAAATATAATCTTTTAAAAAAATAAACTTGTGTTTTTCATGAAACCAGAATGAATATTTATGTGGAAACATTAAAAATAACTTCCTGCAAAAAGATTTGTAAGCAGAGCTTCCCTTCCTGCCCCCATCATCCCAGTAGGGAGGGTTTGCTCCCTAGTTACCCCTCACACTATTTAGTGGTACTGTATTACCTGGATGTACTTATGTTCCGCAAGCCCACCAGGTACTTTGATCAACTTATTGTTGTCCAGGTGAAGCTCCCTCAGATGAGGAGTGTTGGCTAGCGTGCCATTGTCAATGGCAGAAATGCTGTTAAAACTCAGCCCCAACCTGCGAAGAAAAGCAGAAATGAATGCACGCACTACACACCACTGCCCTCCTCACAGGCGCTGTGTGATTTATCCAGTCAATGGGAAAGGACATTCTTTGTTTTCACCCTTAGTGTTCTCTTTGCCTAGAATGCTTTTTGCAACCTTCCCGAACTCGGATAGAGCCCATTTGTTCTCAAATTCCCAGCTTGGAGTCACTCTCTTTGAAACCCTTCTGACAGGCATCCCCTAGTAAATGTTCCTGTTGTCACCCTCTTAAAAAAACTCAAGGGACTAATGACTTGTGTGTCACTCCTAGAGAAAAGTGACTGTTTTGTGGCATACACAGTATGAACACAGAGTTTGTTATGATCAATGAAGAGCTGTCAAATTGATTTCTCTGTATAATGAATATAATGAATTCACTTCAGAGAAAACTAAAAGGACTACTATTATCATCTTGGTCACTACGGAAATCAAATAACTGTATATTTATTATATAAATTTATTCATTGGAAATAAAAGATAGAAGGATCTAATGAATCAAAAAACACACCTGCCAGGAAGGTTAACAGAATTAGCATCTTGCTTTTGTTTGAGTTTTATCAATGACCACCTGTTAATATCAGAATTTGCCTACTGCCGACATTCCCGGCTACTGGCCTTGATCTCTGACCTAAGTTGTCTCTTTCTTGGCCCCTGACATTTCTTATACAATGCCACTCAAAGTTTTGGGTTGCATTTTTTAAATTAAATGCATGAAAGGTCAAAGTTCTGCAGCTGTGAGGTATCTTCCTAGTAAATGGGATTCAAAAGGCAGAGGTCGACTTGGAGATAAGGTTAATGTATTTGGCATTCTGGGGATGCATGACTCTATCAAAACCGCGGTGCTGCCAATCCAAAAAGGCAGAGAGGGGATACCAGGGATGAGACAACAAGGTAATGAATGAGAGCCAGAATCTAGCTCCAAGAGAAAGAAGAGGAGATGGGGGGCCTGGGTGGCTCAGTGGGTTAAGCTGCTGCCTTCGGCTCAGGTCCTGATCTCAGGGTCCTGGGATCAAGCCCCAAATCGGGCTCTCTGCTCAGCAGGGAGACTGCTTCCCTCTCTCTCTGCCTGCCTCTCTGCCTACTTGTGATCTCTCTCTGTCAAATAAATAAATAAAATCTTAAAAAAAAAAAAAAAAGAGGCGGAGACTACTGGGATCATTCAAATGTAGTGGAATAGGTTTGGGAACTATCTGTAGGGCGCTTTTTGCTTGCCTTCAGCTTCTTTTGATCTTTGAGCCCTTTTGGGATTTAGATTTTTGGTTTATCTGACCAAAGTCTTTCAATTTTAATCATGGCTTGATATTTGAAATAATTGAGATCACAGTATATTGATTTTAGGCCATTAGTAAAATAGTTGGTTTATCTTAGTTATGGATTATTGACTTGACCTCTTGGCTGAGAACATTTCGTTTTTTTCCCCCAATCTCAGACATTTATCTCTTGTTTCTGGTCTTGTCTTTTCTATTATAGAAACATGTCTTCTATTCCTTACAACACTTCAAGTCCCATTTCCAATTTGGGGCTAATTCAGTTTCAGAACATGATAATCCTAATAATTGATTCAAAGAAACTTCATTTTTCTCATGGTTTATTTAGATATTCAATCAATAAATGTTTTTGAGGACCTACTATGTTCACAATATTATCCTAGGTTTATGAAGGCAGAGGACCCATGGCTCAAAAATCATTATTCTTTCCGTCAAAGTTAGGGAGATGATCATAGATGTATACATGTATAACATAAAGGAGGTGTGCCTGAAAATCATCTCATATTTTTGGAGAGAAGCGTATACTATTTTCTTTCCACTTGTTTCTAATAACTAATTGGAATATTTGCCCTGCAACACTGTTTCAAGATCAGGGGTGGCTGCTTTTTCCTTCTTTTCACAGTTTTGATGCTCAACACCAAAATACCTTTCATGTTCCAACATCAGTGAAGAATAAACAACATGAGGATGTGATGGTTTCATAGACAGATTTTTCAAGGCTTGATTCCAAAAGGAAATTTGTCTGATAAATTCAAGTCAGAAAAGTTTGCTTGGCCACTTGAGTCAGTCTGTTCCATTTAATGAATGGAATTTTTAAAAAATCTCCATACCACTTTCATTACAAAATGAATTTTTCTTCTAAAAAGGTACAGATATTATTAATGATTTACCATATTTGGAATTAGATTATTGTTCATCTCTACTATTACTACTGCAACTACCACTGGCCATCCTAAAGATCATTCTATAAAATAGGCAATGCAAATTGTCTTCCTACATTGTTCTGCAGTTAGAGGGACCAAATCACAAAGAAAGGTCAGTGATGCCTAATACTCTTTCAAAATATATTTGCTGTATTAGAGACTGTAATTCAAGTATCTTTAGATAAATGATTCCTTTTTTTTTTAAAGATTATTTATTTATTTATATATTTGTCAGACAGAGATTACAAGTAGGCAAAGGGGCAGGCAGAGAGGAAGGGAAGCAGGCTCCCTGCTAAGCAGAGAGCCCGATGCGGCGCTCGATCCCAGGACCCTGGGATCACCACCTGAGCCGAAGGCAGAGGCTTTAATCCACTGAGTTACCCAGGCATCCCTAGATAAATTATTTCTTATCACTGGAGACAGGAGGGTAAGAAAGGACAGCTAGAGTCACAGGTACAGGCTCACCTTTAGCCCTTACCATCCACTGGCTCACTGGAAATCTCCACAGAAATGAGAAAAGATGTATTATACATTATCTGGTCTTAGCCAATTCTCAAGGATAAATGATATACTTTATATTTATTTATCTACCATAAAATTTTTAAGATAAAAGAGGAGTGAGTCAATTTGGCATAACACCGTGCTCCTTTGTAAGAACATTCTGTAATACCATTCAAGAGCCCAGTGCTTCTTGAAGATAAAGCAAATAGTTAGCAAGCATTCCCTTTTTTTATTACTTAACCAGATTGTTAATGTAGAAAGGTTAAAGTTAGACTAGAAAGCAGAAAAGGAACGAATTATTATCTATCAGGGAAAAAAAAAAGTTGATTTTTTGTTAAAAAAATAATAACTTCTTTTGTTAGACTACGCTAGATGTCCAGAGACATTTTAAACTCTTCAAAGAACAGAAGTGAGAGAATCTCATCATAATTATTCCAATACCATAGGGTGGGATGCCCAGTATGTCCATGATCTGGTAACTTTCATTTTAAGGCATTTTCAAATTCTAAACACTGTTATAATTTACTTGACCTTCTGTTTAATGCAACTAAGTTAGAATATATTGAAGGAACATACTGACTTAATCAGTTACCAGGTACATAAGATATGTCTTAATCTAAAAACAATATGGTAAATAATCTTCATGGTTATGGTAAGTATGCTATTTCATTGTTTTTTAAAGAAGCAATTGGGCCTCCTAAGGTCTGAGTTTGTTAGGACCAACAACAAAAAGAGTAACCAACCGCCCATTGTGTTTCTAATTCGGAACATGCAGGCACTAATACATCTGGCCATTCTACTGATAAAAGGTCATGAAAGAATATTATTACTTAGCCAGATTATTCAGTCCTTTCAGGCTGGATGCATCAACTTTGGTGATTTTGTTGCCTTCCAGATGTAATTCAGTAAGGGAAGGAGGAAGACCTGGAATAGAGAAATACAGAATGTTAAATTAGCAGAGAAACGTAATTACAGGATGTAGACGGACTTAACAAGCAGTAGGCAACCAACTTGCTGAAAGACACAGAGCTTCAAAGGATTTGCTTTTCATCTTTTCCATCAGTTTTGCTTTCTATCTTTTTCTTCATCTCTTTCATAATAATAGATGCTTTGGGAAGTAGGACAAGCAAGTTTTACTTTTCTCGTAGATTGATTTTAACAGAAACGTGGACTATCTTTATCACGTAGTAGATTTTTGTCCTAGTAACTGTTAGGATACTGTCGTAGAACTGAAGTCAAACCCTGAATCTCATTAATTTCCTCCACCTTTGTTACTAAGCTAATACTGTCACTGATAAAAGACCACAAAGGTAAAATGAGATAAGCATTTGAACTGTAATAGAGAAATTATGTGTAAGTTAAACCTATATACAAATTTAATGAAGTATTTCAGTAATGGGTGTCATTAATAACGAACACTTCATGGGGCGCCTGGGTGGCTCAGTGGGTTAAAGCCTCTGCCTTTGGCTCAGGTCATGATCCCAGGGTCCTGGAATCGAGCCCCGCATTGGGCTCTCTGCTCAGCAGGGAGCCCGCTTCCCCCTCTCTGTGCCTATCTCTCTGCCTACTTGTGATCTCTTTCTCTCTGTCAAATAAATAAATAAATAAAATCTTAAAAAAAAAAAAAAAACTAACACTTCATAAACCGCGTTGGCCTTAGTCTTAATGGGCTTTTCCACATTAAAAAACAAATGAAACAAAACTCGAATGCCTCTACAACGTGGATGTGTAGAAAGAGCTAAAGCTGACTTGGATCTTTTAAATCAAGACTGTTTCTTTACACAAGAGGAATGCAGAGGCCTAGAATCAAGTGATTGGCCATATGTAGAACACCTGGGGAAATAATTTTAGATCTAAAGTATCCGTGAAACCTCTGAGTAATATTTCTCGAAAGGCTATGATTTCTAAACATTTAGTAATATTAATATAAAAGTTTAAATATTTTATTTTCATTTCCTCCTGCCATCTGAGGATATACGATGCTTTTATATGGCTTTTTAAAGAGCATATTGTTCCACTTACAAGAATAGCCACAAGTACAAAGAAAAGAGCAAATCAGTTATATGTCAAACTAACATCTGCTTAGCAGAGAGTGTTGGTTATCTGTCCATAAGGAACAAAGTTGGGAAACTGTAGGTTATGTTTGGTAAGAAAATTTTCATGGCCCACCCCTGAATTCTGTCCATACCATCTCTTTCATGTAAAAGTTTAGTCCGTATTTGATTTAAACTTATTGTTAGTTTCTCTACAGCATGATGTTTTGTGTGGGAAATGCTAAGCTACTCACAGAAAGTCTGTCATGTAGCAAACACGGATACTGGCACTTTTTCTAGCTTAGCTCATTTAACTTTTTCAGTTTACAAATTATTTTTTGTGAACCTCCCTTCCATTGATGAAGAAACGGAGACTCCAAGTTACAAATTTTGGAGGTTATCTAGCTGCCACGTAGGGAAGTAATATGATCTCAGATGGTCAAAGAGAGTTCAAATAGCATGCTTTTAACTGAAGGGAATGAAATGGAGACAGTGTAGGAAAACCAAGAGGGACTTAACTCCTGGAAGCACTGGTCTGAGGCCAAGGTTAAAAGTTTCCATAGGCTTAGAGACAAATACCTCCTTCTGGGAAAATGAACAAATGAGATAATAGTTGTTAGGAGTAATGGGTGTCTGGGCAAAATTAGAAGCAACAATTTAAAGCCTACTTGTACAAGTATTATTATTTTTCAGGACCCCTAAAAGAATGTCAACCTTGGAGAAAGACATCCTGTGATTATCTTGTGTCCACTGAGAAGTAATGACCACAAGTTAATGACCATGGGATTGAAGAATGCTTCCCTACTCCCTTCCCGCCCTCTGGAAAAGTGGCTTTTCTATTCTTTGCACAATACCCCTTCCTCTTTCCAGTCGGCTCCCTTGCAGGTATGCTATCTCTATAAACTCCACCAGCATTCTTTCTCTTGAGTCTGGTGTTCATTTTCATGACATGGAGGCTCAAGAACCTGGTCTTGGAGTCTAGTAGCAAAATCACAATTGAGTCATTCTTATGACTAAATACCAGGAGACCACAGTCACTCTTGGAATAAGGGATTTCAACCTCTCGAATCTCCTTAGAATAAATAAATGTGGATTTTTAAAATATTCCTACATGTAATTAATGAATGAATATATAAAACAAAGCAATTGAATACACATCTTTTCTTCCCTATCACCATGAAAAGATGTTTTTAAAAATGTACTGTCTCTAGAATAACAATCATCATCGTGTCCCAAACCCTACCTACTTTCTAAGTGTCTTCCCTTCTACAGCATCAGTTTCCCAAAAGGGAAGTGATAACCAGGAGAAAGTTTGACAGTGGAAGAAAACTGCAATAGGATAGAGAGAGGCAAATTTATCAAGAATACCAGAATCATTTGCCACCGTAGTAATATTTAGCTAAGAACCTATAGTCTACCTCCTTTTTTTCCCTTTCATTTCCCTTCGCATTTTTAAGATAAATATATTAAGTGCTTACTTTGGGCCAGCTACTATGTTTGCACATTATGCATCTTATTTGTGTTTATTAATTCTCATAAATATCCTAGAAGACAGGGGTCATTAACAACTCCATTTCACAGACAGCAAAACTGAGGTTTGGAGATGTGCAAAAATTAGCCTGAAGTCACAGAACAACTAAGTGGTGGAATCAGACCTGCCAGCCATGTGGTCTACGTGGAGAATTCATAACTCTCCACTTCACTCCACTGCCATGTGTTTCCATCATTGATGGTAGATAGTGTGTGGACATTAAGACTCCCAGAGGAGGACACCTGGGTGGTTCAGTGGGTTAAAGCCTCTGCCTTCAGCTCAGGTCATGATCCCAGGGTCCTGGGATCGAGCCCCACATCAGGCTCTCTGCTCAGCAGGGAGCCTGCTTCCTCCTCTATCTCTGCCTGCCTCTCTGCCTACTTGTGATCTTTGTCTGTCAAATAAATAAATAAAATCTTAAAAAAAAAAAAAGACTCCCAGAGGATAGTGCTATACAGGCATAAGGGTCAAGCCTAGGAAAAGCAGACTTATCTGTTTTGTTGGCATAAATATGCACAGGCGGGAGTACTTAAGTTGGCAGCAGAGTACAATGGTCATGCCCATGACTCATGTCAGCACAGCACAGTCCTGGCTTGGCCACCTCCTAGCCCCAGGACCTTGGGCACGATGTACTTCATGTCTTTAAGCTTCATTTTCCTCATTTATTAAGCAGGTATGATAATATTACTATAGAGGAATGGTTTGAGATTCATAGCAAAGAATCAATAAAAAGCTTTTGGCACAATACCTGGTATTAGTAAGTGCTTAGCAAAACTTCGTTACTATAATTTTTATAGTAAGTGTTTAATACATAAAAGTAAGCTAGAGATGGTGAGAAAAGACCACCTAGGGTAGGGAGGAGAAATAACAAATACAGGTCACTAAGTGATGAAATGTGTTCCCGAGGCATATTTTGGAGGATGCATTAAGAAGGAGAGCAAAATCAAAGACTGTGTTTAATGCAAGTCATTTAGCAGCATGAAGTAGTGGAAAAGACCCAGACTTTAAATTCCAGCTTTTCTACTCCATTTCCTACAGCTCTATAGATTTGGGCATTGCATATATTACATGTGTACATGTAATATATAAAAATATAATTTAAATTTTAAAATATTATTAAAATATAAAAATATATTAAAAATATAAATATATACACATCTGCACTCGAGATAATATTAATATATATAACATATAATAAATATAGATATAGATATGTACACATCTGCAGTGGGGATTTAAAAAAGAAACAAAAAAATAAAACCACTTATTATGATACAACAAGTTGGAGGCCCAACATGAAGGTGCTTCAAAAACTGTAGATCAATCTCTATCTATCTATCATTTATCCATCATCTATCTATCTATCTAATCTATACCAGCAGTTACTATTATGGGCATAAAAACATCTTCGGTATCAAAAAGACTGTGGAGAGAGCAAGGGGTGGTAAGAAACCATTCTATGGAATATATCTTCTTGGAAGCTGAGTTTCTGTGGAAGTACAGTGAAGGGTAATTGTTTTCTGTGGGCAAGGACCTACACTTTGTACCCAGTCCAAGAACGAGATATCTAAGCTGAGAAAGGGCCAGATGGAGGAGAAAATTTGATAATACAGAGGGGCTTTTGTGAGACTAAAACCCTGGAGCAGGGAAAATGTGAGAATTAGAGGAATTGCTTTTTTGGTGAGTTGATTTCTTTTCTGATTCACAAAGATTGGCTTCCTTGCCTCCCCCAGGGAACCCTTAGCATGAGGCCATGTGATGACTGTTGCTGACCTGTCTGGCTTTGCTCTGGGTGATAAGCTCCTTGAAGTTAGGTAATAGACCCTATTCATTGTCCTGTCTCTGGTATTTGGTACTTTGCCTAAGCAAAATGAGTGTCAAAATAATTTTAAGAAATAATAAAAGGTAATATTAATCTACTACTTATTTGAATACCAGATATTTCTCTAATTAGTTACTTAATTTTAAGGCAAACTAATGCTATTACACATTCATGAATAAAGAAATTGAGGCAGGGGCACCTGAGTGGCTCAGTTGGTTAAGCGGCTGCCTTTGACTCAGGTCATGATCCCAGGGTCCTGGAATCGAGCTCTGCGTAGGGCTCCCTGCTCAGTGGGGAGCCTGCTTCACCCTCTCTCTCTGCCTCCTGCTCTACCTCCTTATGTTTTCTCTCTCTGTCAAATAAATAAATAAAATATTTTTTAAAATAAAGAAATTGAGGCGTAAGTATTGAATAAACTTGCCCAAGGCCTTAGAGCCAATTAGGGACAAACTGAACTCAACCATACAGACCAAAATCCCCACTGTACAACATACAACCGGCATTATCATACAAGAGCATGACCTCTGTGGATGCTCTTACTCTTAAGGCCTGAGATGTCCTATGATGGAAAGGAATTCACTAAAAGATTGCAGACTCGAAGTAAAAATTGGCTCAATTTCAAGGTACGTCATGTATCTTCTTTTTTAATGCCACTAAGGTATTCTATTTTTTAAATAATTGTACATTAGTGCTATCACAATTCTTCTCTTTTATCACAATTATTTAATATGAAATCATTGTGTGTTAAGTTATATCTTAGAAGAGACTTAATAGGTAGAAGGGTCTAGCCATCTCTACTGTGGGCCTCGATGGCCCAGGGGTCATCTAGGCTCAAAAGAAATACTTTCAAGGGTAAACAATTTACCAGCAATAACATTGGCTACTTCAGTCACCATTTAAATTTCCAAAACAATTTTTTTTTAATGTTAAAGTTTTAAGATTTAGTTGTTCAGACTGCTTTGGAGAGTTTTCTGTCACCTTGAGGGATGGTGGTTATATTGGTGTCAGCAATGCGGATATAGGACAGCTTCTTCATTCCCTGGAAGGCTCCATTTTCAATTCCCGAGCTCTTCAGTGGGTTGGTGCCCAGTTCTACAAACGCAATAAATACAAAGCTTTAGCGGACAATATTAGGATATTGCAAATCAGAGTAGGGTCTGTTTCAACAAGGATTTTAAGAGAAATGTGGGTTGATAACAACTTGACTGAGAAACCAAAGAGAAATTAAAGGATACACTCTTCAAAGGGATAGCAAACTGAGGCAAAATTTTCTTTTTTTTAAAACAAACAACAAACACAATAAGAAAACAAAGATTTATGGGAAAAGCAATAGTGATGAAAACAATAACAAGATTATTTAAAGTACATACACAGGATTGCACAGAAATCAACAAAAACACGTGTTAATAAGTCACACTTATTATGGTGTTATTACTTTCCTGAGATGAATTAAAATATGAAATAATTTGAAATATTAGCATCTTGTAAGCCAATTATAAAATCACCATCTTTACCACACATGGAGCAAAACGTTAGAACACATTTTTTAAAGCGAGTGATTTACACATGTTCAGAATAGAAACAATTCCCATGATGGAAAGGTATCCCCACATAACTCTAATCAATCACTACCTAATTCCATCTCGCATCTTGGGCATACAGTAGGGTGACTTTGGCCCTAGAACTTCTCCACATTCTCAGATCCTCGAGGACGAGAAACAAAAACATTGTAAGGTACGATTCCAAATCTCATTTCTGCCGATTTTGCTACTGTTACTCCTACAGGCTAAAGATATGTAAGCTCTGGCTGGTCTACCTCCTGCAGCTATAGCTTACTTGGAATCTTCTAAGGTGGACCTTCAATCCTGGCCTTAGAGTTTTAAGAATATCTGTACCTATGACGATCATCTGGTTCAGTCCATTGAACACAGCTTTCCGCACTTTGGTGATCTCATTCTCATGGGCACGCAGCTCCTGAAGAGTTTTGGGCATTTTTTCTGGCAATTCCTTCAGATGATTCTTGGATAGATAAAGTCGTTCCAATTTCAACAAAGGTGTGAATGCTCCAGGGCTGATTTTGCTAATTTTGTTGTTGACAAGAATCAACGTCTATAGATGATGAACAAAAACAACACCTTAATTTCAACTCTCTCTCTCTCTCGCTCTCTCTCGCTCTCTCTCTCTCTCTCTCTATATATATATATAGCAAGAAATTAGAAAAAATCAAATATTATATATATTGCAAGAAATCAGAAAAAATTAAGCAAATGTGACTCTTTCACTTAAGAAGTGTATGAGGATCTGAACATCAGGAGCATCAGGAATAAAGGTGATGAGATATAGGTTATAGGTTATAATATAGATACATAGATAGACACTTAATTTTTAAACAGTTAATACTTCTAAAGATTGAAACTACAAGAGTAACCCGAGATACCAAAAAAGAATCCAGCGCCACGGGCATCCATCCCCCAGCCTAAAATCCATCTTCATTGACTGCTGCCATGAATTCCAGTACCAAATGGTGACACCAATTTATATTACCATCAGCAACGCAAAAAGTAAAAATTTTGTGCTTTCTTGCAGCCTTATAAATTTAGATCTATTTTTTTCAAAAAGTTTGTCAAAGTAATACACCATGTTGTACCTCATTATAATTTCTTTGCATTTCTTTGTCACTTGAAAGTTTAAATGAACTTCCTTTTGTTCTGCTACTGTTTTCTGTACTTTTTGGAAAGAAAGGATTACCTGATCACAATACTACTCATTTTAGTAAGTTTTAATATATTTTAATAATTGGTCTACAGAAAATAAAGATGTAATTAATATGAAATGCAGAGCTTTAATATATTTTTCTTCTGTTTTTGTCCTTTTTACATATACAGGTTTTATGTAGCCAAATATGCTAACATATTTGGTAATTCTTAAATTTTTATTTCTGCAAAATTGCTTCTCATTCATTACTGGTATATGTATAGCTATTGCTGAGCTTATTTTTGGATACCTCTTTCTCTTCCAATGATACATATGTCTATAGAACCATTCTTCTTATTATTCTAAATTTTCTATCAATTAATCCTAAGGAATTCAGGATCATTTGAGTATGGTCTAAGAAACCTCATTTTCAATTGTAGTGGATTTATGTGCATATATGAAAAGCACAGGGACAAAAAAAGAAAACAATGAGAACTTCCAGATTCAGAAATGCAGGAATACTTTCTGAAGGTAACAGCTGGTTAGTTAACACATGTATATGCTCATGGAGTTCACATTACTTGACTAACTAAAAGTCCTTCTAAGTAATAGTTTTTCAGCTAATCCTAAAAGATGATGGGTTGATTAAAACAAAACCCCAGGAAATTCCAATGAATATTACAGAAAATTAAAAAACACATGAGAGTTAAAGTCATAGGAAATTAATATCAACCAGCAAAATGTCCAGGAAATTAGTAAAAGCTAGAGCCAGAGGAGAGGTTTAAGAGGACTTGCATCATTGAAAGACACCCAAAGTGGCAGATGCTTAATTATGAAGAAAGAGGAGATATTCTATTGCTATCTATGGAAGACAACTCTGAAAGCTAGATATCATTCAATGCATTCAACATGGTCTGAAAATCTGATTATTTTATGTTAAATATCAAAACCTAGTATGAAGAATCACCCTGATGATCTATTATCTGACATTTCTGCTAATAAAATATCATCTTTTTTAAACTAGATAATAACTAGATGATGCCTCTACCTATGAGCATGCCACAGTAGTGTCTGCTCTTAAGTCCTGGGGGTTGTGTGACATTTGCCCCAATTATTTCTTCAGTACAGTGGGAATAATAATAGCACCTACAGGCCATACCTGATAATGTATATAGACTTATTTGCAAAGCACCTTTCAAATGGCAACATTTGTGCTTTCAAATTAAAAAAAAATTGTAACATAAATAAACTATGTAAATTTTAGTCATAATGAGGTAAAATCTTAATACCTATATGAATTAGAATTTCACATAAAACAGATCCATAGGTAAGGCAGCTCTTTCTGCCATTGGGTCCTGTCCCCATGCTTTAATAAAACCACCTTAAAGAAAAATCCACAGGTGAAAAAAAGTTAATTGTGTAAATACAGTATTGCTTAAAGATGGTTGATGTTAGTGCCATACACAGTGATATGTATTTAAGAAAGCACCCTTACAATTATAACAGGCAATGACAAGATGTTGAGATGGGAAAACAAAAGAAAACTAATTCCATTGGCTAATGCAAAAGGCCAGCTAAACCAGAGAAAAAGTCAAAGGTGAACCTCAGGTATTCTTCAGGAGATCAGCTGATGAAAAGCAGAAAGCTCTTCCTGTAAACAACCCAAGGTGATCTCCAAAATGGTTCACTATTCACTTGGCCCAGAAAATCCTACAAGATCATGCAAATCAGGGTGTTCAAATCTTTGTGTTTGCTTTAAGAACGCATATGAAACTGCCTAAGCCATCAAGGGCATGCATATCGGAAAAGCCACCAAGTATCTGAAGGATGTCACTTTGGGGAAGCCATGTGTGCCACCCGGTCCCTACAATGGTGGAGTTAGTAGGTGAGCCCCGGGCCAAACAGTCAGTCTGGACACAGATGGCCCAAAAAGAGTACTGAATTCTTACTGCACATGCTTAAAAATGCAGAGAGTATTGCTGAACTTAAGAATTGTAGATTCTCTGGTCATTGAGCACATCCCAGGGAACAAAGCTCCCGAGACGCAGTGTTGAATTGACAGGACTCACAGCCGATGAACCCCTCCCTGCAGGAGCTCTCCCTGCCTCACTGAGATGATCCTCACTGAAAAAGCAGAAAGATCTTAAACCAGAAGAGGCAGTTGCACAGAGGAAAAAGATATCCCAGAAGATACTTAAGAAACAAAAATTTGTGGTCTGGGAGTCAATTCTGCATAAAACAAATTCAAATAAAAGTAAAAACAGAGAAGAAGAAAAGAAAAGGTAAAAGACAAGCAGAATCAGTTTATCATGACTTTGCAAAGATGGTATAGAAGTCAGAGGAGGAGAGATAAAATTGAAGCACAGCCTCAAAAACCAGGATGGCCTACTTCTTTGGTAACTAAAGAAAAAGGGATCTAGCCTGGGAGGTAGGGGAGAGGTGATGAAGAAGGCGACTGGCAATGGAAATGAGTGAAAGTAGGAATAAAAGCATTTTCACCACCTTCATCCAAGAAGGAGATCAAAAGAAACAAACTTGAAGTTTTAAAGTGTATAAGGACAGGAGAGGTAAGGTACAACATGATGACTATAGCCAACATTGTGGCATGGTATAGTTGAAGGTTGCTAAGAGAGTAAGCTAAAAGTTCTCCTCACAAGGAAAAAAACATTTTTTTCTTTTCATATATATATATATATATATATATATATATATATATATATATGAAAATGTTTTATATGTATATATTTATGTGTGTGTGTATATATATATGTATATATATATACATATATATATAATATTATATATGGTGTATGTTAACTAAACTTATTGTGGTGATCATTTTGCAATATATGAAGTCATTATGCTATACACCTTAAACTTACACACTGCTGTATGGCAATTATAGTTCAATAAAATTGGAAGAAAATAATCTTGAAACCTGACTTAATATGATGTAGTTTTCTCCAAAGTCACTTATATACGGTTTACACTGCATCAGGTATGGTTTTAAGGAATTGTATGGTTACTATCATTTTTATAGGCAATTAACAGACTCAATTCACAGTGCTCCTGAGTTTCAGTCTCAACATTTGGCTCTTATTTGTGAGTGACAATGAACGTGCGTGACTTATAGTGCGTGACTAAGTAACCTTTCTGTACCCGGGTGTCCTCTTCTGTATAAAGGCGTTATTAAGAGTGTCCACCTCAAAAGAATGGTTGTGAAAATTAGTAAGTGAGTGTGTATAGGTATTAAGCCTAGTATATAGTAATTGCTAGACAAGTGTTTACTAATACTCAATCTTCAAAAATATTTTATTTTTAGTTAAAAAAACCTCCCTGACTAGATTTTTTGAGCATGAATTCAAAGGAAATATATTAAATGTTAGCACTGTAATATTTAATTTTCCATTATTTCGCAGGATAACTGTGTTTTTTGATTACATACGAGTATAAAACTATTCTTGCACAGAATATACTACTCATCATGAGACAGAGTCTAAAATGATAAAACTATTGAGAAGAGAGGAAGCATTCTGTCAAATCCTTTCTATTTTAATCATTGCTGAAGTTTCACTTCTCATCCTCCTTTTCATTCAAGTGTGGCTTTCCTGGCTGAAATTATAATGTTTATTTGCATAATAACAAGGATAGAAACTATCATGAATGAAAGAGTAAGAGAAAAATAGCTGTTTAACATCCTCTGAAGAGTTGGAAGCTCTAATAAACTCTTCCTCTCCTCCATGTATACTTTGAAGTAGAAAGAGATTGCTAAGATGGTAGTTGCCTAAAACATACAGAGAAAGAAACATGGAAAAGAAAGAACATATTATTACAAATGCCAGATTTAATGACAGTGTCACAGAAACAGATATCTCTTATTTAAGGCCACACAGAGTTTAAATAAATTATTTAGATTATACTTAACAATATAGAAAGTTAGGATTCAAGTAAGAGAATTTTCCTCCCTTAAAAAATTAGCTTTAGGGTAAACTTATAAAAATAAAATGAAGTTTTAAATTTTAGTTCATTGAAAATAATATTTTTTCTTAATTAATCTTTTAACAGATCTGGTGATAGTTTAAATAGTCATTGACAAACCTTGTTGGTATCACCATTGTCCCACTCCCAGGGAAAGCATACCATGGAGGCGGAGAAAAGGTGGGTTGGGGCTCAGGCCTGGCATCCTAACAGTGAAGATGGATCCTACTGGTTCAAGATTTGAAATCTCTAGCTCAAGCCTTATCCTCACTTTTTCTAGCCTGTCTTTCACTCTAGCCACCTCCTATCTGCTTATTTTCTTCTTTCCTTTCCTTTTGTAGAGAAAACCCTCTTTTCCTTCTCTTCCTTTCAAAATTCTGCTACCCCTCTAAAAAATCCTTTGTCCCATATTCTCTCACATACTGGTCACCTGATGTAGGATATGTCTGATCTGTCTGATAGCATTCACTACTTATATTACATTGGTCTCCTATGGTTGGACACTTCAATAAGCTGACTATGCCATTTTATTTGCCACTTTTGTTTATATTAATTGTTCCATAGAGAATCTTAAAATCTTAAGGAAAAAATCCTTACAACCTTCTAAGAATATGGTATATTTTCTCCTAGTAGGTGTTTATTGCTTTTCTCACCCTAGCTGTCAGAAAGTTGGTATCTAAATCTTGTCCTGATTATATTAATTCTATAACATAGGATGACCAGTTTATTTTACATTACATTATTTCCCTTGAATCTCTATTTCTTATTCTAAAGCATACCAGCCAGATGTCTTATTTTTATATTTACATGTATTGCCTATTCTTACTATACATCCCTTCAATTATTTTCTATAATGGTTACAAGAACTAAATGGATCTGAAATTAGAGTTTTCTGTTTATACTCCCAACCTTAAAAATGTATTTCTCTGATATTCATCATAAGAACCTGTAAACTTATCTCTACATATAGGTCACTCATAACTAAACAATTCTCTCCATTGTTTTCTGAAACTTCTAACACTATACATTGCATTTTTTTTTAAAGATTTTATTTATTTGACAGAGAGAGGCACAACGAGAGAAGGGAACACAAGCAGGGAGAGTGGGAGAGGGAGAAGCAGGCCTCCCGCTGAGCGGGGAGCCCGATGCGGGACTTGATCCCAGGACCCTGGGATCATGACCTGAGCCGAAGGCAGACACCTAATGACTGAACCACCCAGGTGCCCCCTATACATTGTATTTCTAATGTTGAGGAAAACTCTGCTTCCCTGAAATTTCCACTCAGTTGTCAAGAGGACAATTCTGTCATCTTACAGTTGAAGCAAGTAAATTCAATTTCTCTTTTCCAGCATGGCCCTTCAAAATTGTCACTCACGTCCTCTTTCACTCAGTTTGGGCATCCATATCTCTGTCAACTCTGCCTATCAGACATGGTTTCCAAATTCTTTATCCTCATGATAACCATTCTATGGATACTCAACAGTTAATGCCCTCCTTAAAATGTTATGCCCAGGACCAGACTTAATACTTCAAGAGTGGTCTACCAGAGTCGAATACAGAGACAGTGAGACTTGCAGTATTTATTTTGGACATTGAAGGTTGGCTTATTTATACTAAATGTGCAATGATATTCTGAGGGTAAACTACATTCTATTTATCTCACAGGTAGAGAGCTGGACTAGAGCATACAGTTTATTAGGATTCTGATCCCCTACCTGAAAAGACAATGCACTTACTCTGACAGAAGGCTGCCTTAGCAATGCTGAACCCTATTTGATGGGGTTGGTCATCCTCCATTTACCACACACCCTCTCCCAACTATAGTTATACTCATTCTTCGTTCTTTGTGAGCTTCCTTTGTGTCCTGGGAAGATAAACTCTGGGAACTACTTCACCCAGATGATCTTGACCCTGGCCCCCAGTTAGGTTCACCTATAGGAGACACAGACAGGAAATGAGGAGGTAGGACTACGGCTCCCCACCTCTTTCAAGGTGGGCTTGGGTGTTTCATAATGCTTCGTTGGTTCCTATATCCCTCTGCAAATCATCCCTTCAGTAAAACCTTCTCTGTGAACACTTTAGAGAGTGCCACCAATTTTCTGCTGGAATCCTGTTTGGTAGACTGGATGTGTGACATAATAGAGTAGAGGTAAATAAAAATCACAATTAAAGCACAGATACAGATAAGAATGCAATAAGCAAAGTTCTAAATACAAAGCAAGCTGTAGATATATAGATATTTGAAGATAGAATTATATTTACTAAGTAAACTACAGATGGCTATCCCTTTTTCTCTTGGTGCTAATCTTTGAGCCTTTACAACATTGGCACCTCTTAGAAAACTAATGAAAGAAGACCAAAGAGATAAACTAATACTAAGTTCAGTAATCCATTTTGTATTTTGCTCCAATATTGAAATAGAATCTACCTAGGAAGATAAAGACTTTAATTCATGAAATGTAAGAGAAGACTATGATATGAAGTATTTTTTAGGATATAAAGACCAAAGATATGTGGGGTAAATGTAAGAAAATTGGCTGATTTTTTTAGGGGTTAATGAATATGATGCTTTGCTCCCCTCTCATCCCCTAAATAGAGGATTTAATAAATGCTTCTGTGCTTATTTATTACCATATAGTACTCCTAGCCTTGTTTTGAAGAATCCTGTGAGTCAGATCTTGTTACAACTCAAAAACAAACAAACAAACACAGAACTCTTACATGAAGGTTCTTCAGGTTCTTGAAGTCCCCATCTTTGATTTCGGTTATTTTGTTGTTTTGCAAGTCAAGCAGCGTAGTGTCAGGGGGAAGATCTTTTGGCACTTTTTCCAGACCTTGTGTGACAGTAAAAGAAATATGCAGTCAGTAAGAGGGACGCAGGACCACAGAATCACAAAGGACGTGCTCACCAAAAAATCAATGTTGCAATGAAAGTTTTACCACTACCATATTTTTCTTCTTCTAGGGATTACATCGACGATAGTTTAAAATATCTGCTTTATCCTTTCCAAAGAAGTCAAATGCTCTATATATTTTTTAAAATCATACACTGATCACATTATTTTTTCCATGTAATTACTTTGCTGTGAAAACTAAAATTCATATTTTGTAAGAGAGTGGCTGAAAACTCTCAGGGCACATTAGGGTGTTACCTCATTGTTCTTGTTTTAGAAAATAATATGCTGAGTGAAATAAGTCAAGCAGAGAGAGTCAATTATCATATGGTTTCACTTATTTGTGGAGCATAACAAATAGCATGGAGGACAAGGGGAGTTAGAGAGGAGAAGGGAGTTGGGGAAAATTGGAAGTGGAGGTGAACCATGAGAGACTACGGACTCTGAAAAACAATCTGAGGGGTTTGAAGGGGGGTGGGAGGTTGGGGGAAGCAGGTGGTGGGTATTAGAGAGGGCACGGATTGCATGGAGCACTGGGTGTGGTGCAAAAATAATGAGTACTGTTATGCTGAAAATAAAAAATAAAAAAAAAAAAAAGAAATTAAAAAAAGAAAATAATTCCTTTGATCAGTGTTAAGTGCATGTGATTTCTAAATTTATGCCTTTCTACATAAATATACCATTTAGTAGAGAAGAGCTTTAGCCAAATCATTGAAGATCCATCTGACCTAATCTACCATTGCCACAGAGGTACATTCAAAATGCTTCTGTCTCTTCCATTGGCTTTGTTTCATATTGATGTAGGAAGTTAAGCAGAAATTTGATATTCTATTAAAATTCTATCAAATTCATGTGATCTTTTCTGTATTTGAGATTGCATAACATACATCAGAAAAGTTTTTCCACCTCTCCATCGTACTTGAAGCTGGAATTCTTTCATTCACTCAACAAAGCCAATAGAATACCTCCTAGACATCATCAGTTTATCAGGTTCTGAGAACACAGCATGACCAAGACAGAAATTGCCCACATCCCTGTAGAAAATATAATTAATCTACAGCTTTCAGTTAAAAGGAAAACTGTAACAGGGAATGCAATTGTTATGTTGGAAAGATGTCTTTTCAATTTTGAACCTTACGTAAGTGTGTGCTGTTCAATTATCATGGTAGTCATCGTGCTGTCTTCAAGTCCTCCATGAAAATTACAGAAAGTGTATCTGAAATCACCTACCTTCTAAGTTCTCTGCAAATAACTTTTTTACTCACATGACTCTGTTGATAGTGGGGGAAAAAAAATCTAGTATCCAATTCAGAGATCAACTGTTATAAATTTAAATATCAAAATGCATGTGATTCTAAACATACATAAATATATTCCAAGAACTTACTACAGAAACAGTTCACAGAGAAATGACAAGAGTGAAGTGTTTTCGGTGATAAACAGCTATCTTGCAGGAGGATTTTTAACGGCATTATGCAGTCATGATCACTGCCATTTTCAGAAATGTCAGTTTGATAATTTCATGCAATTAGGAGTGGCAGTCCTCTGCCAAATCTTTGATAATTAGTGTTCTCCAACCAAGTAAAGACACATTGCCTTTCATTTGGAAAAAAAAAAAAGTTAACTGCCTACATTTCATTATTACTCCACGGGCTTCTTTGTCAAAGTTTTAATTTCCACTTATGCTCACTTTTATACATTATTGAACTTAAATCCCAGTGACTCTTTTAACATTTGTTCAAACCTAAAGTGCAGATAAATTTCAGTTGTGGAGGGAAAAAATGATATATCTGCTTGGCTAACAATTTGGTTATGTTGTCCTTCTAGAATTTTAGGAACGTCTTGGGGTGAATTGTATACATTATTTTTTTGGAAGATTTAGCATAAAAAAATCTTAAAGCTTGGGATATTCACATTTTAATGCTTAGAAAGTCACTTTAATGATTAAAATCATAACCCTACTATCTTCTCTGAGTTACTAGTAAATTTATATCCATCTCAGGGATTTTACATATTCATATTTTTATAAAAACTTTGTATTTATTCTGACATCAGATGCAAGAACATACTGTTACATTTAAGGTCTAGCCAGGGCATTGCACTGTCAACTAGCTTTTCCAACAACTACAGGCAGAGTAAAACAGGGACATTACCCTAGTTATGAGTTCTTAGAATGTCACAAAGGGAAGGACTATTAAGTAACAGCGAGTCTATGATTCCAAATGCTGATCAGATAAACTCTATAATGAGGTTCTTATCAGTCTATAACAAAATTAGAAAAACAAATGAGTGCAATGAAGTTAGTTTTAATATAAATTACACATACGCACATACTCACATACATGGATACACACATTTCTGAAACTAGCTTCTGCTTCTGTATTAAATATACCTTCTTAAAAATCATTATAATAAGCAGATGGCAGGTTGTTGTTATTTTGTTTAATTTGGTTTTCACCTTATAAGAAATTAACTTGTTCAACATTCAAACAATCTCAATGGTCCCAGAAATCAAAGAACTTCTAAATTAGTCCAATACTTCCTTTTATGGGTAAAGAAACAGAAATCAAATGAAATTATTTGACTTTGGGGTGCCTGGGTGGCTCAGTGGGTTAAATCCTCTGCCTTGGCTCAGGTCATGATCTCAGGGTCCTGGGATCGAGCCCAGCATCAGGCTCTCTGCTCAGCAGGGAGCCTGCTTCCTGCCTGCCTCTCTGCCTACTTGTGATCTCTCTCTCTCTCTGTCAAATAAATAAATAAAATATTAAAAACAAAAGCAAAAACAAAAACAAAAAAACAAAAAAACTTCTATTAAAAAAAAAGAGAAATTATATGGCTTCACTAAGGTGTCTCATGTTTAATCTAAACCAAGAACAAGATGGTATGAGACCCCACTCTAGAATTATGCAACATGCCATATGTACTTGTAGACAGTGTGTATTTTTTTTAAAGAAGTTGATCTATACTGTTCCTTGAACATACCATGCTTATTCTTAACTATTCGTTTTTGCTTTTGTTCTTATAATTTCTGTTTCACGGAATATTCCACCCACTCATGTCCTTCGAGCTTCATTCTCACAACCTCTAAAAGTGCTCTAACAACCCCTTTACCCCTCTCCTCTAGAATATTCATCCTAACCACACCAGACAATGGCGACCACATAGCCCCTGCCAAACTCCTGTTTGTATATAAGCTCATGAGGTATTGTCCTGCACTTTAGTTTTCTTTCTTTTCTGTAAGTTCCGGAAGAGCAGGGACAAATGACTATATTTCGTGAGAGTTGTGATCTTACCGCTTCATATATAAAGGTATCTTTTTGATTGATTAGGTTTTTTTTAAGATTTTATTTATTTATTTAACACAGAGAGAGAGAGAGAGAGAGAGAGAGATCACAAGTAAGCAGAGAAGCAGGCAGAGAGAGGGGGGAAGCAGGCTCCCCGCTGAGCAGAGAGCCTGGTGTGGGGCTCCATCCCAGGACCCTGAGATCACGACCTGAGCTGAAGGCAGAGGCTTTAACCCACTGAGCCACCCAGGCACCCCAACTGATTGATTAGTTTTAAAATTATAGTCTTTCCTGCTGTCCCATGGTGAAAAGTTCATGGTCATAGCTTCAAGATCTTTCCTGCTATGTTTTGGTACAATCCTGTCTTCAGATCCTGCTTTCACAATGGTTCTCATTTTCCTTGGAAGTACTTGAATACAACTGGCTATAATAATAGTAATTTTCCTTCTGTTTCTTGGTTGGCCAGAAATATTTTAGGAATAAATATTACCATCAAATATGTCATCTCCATTATCTGCATCTGAAAATTTCTCTCAATGTCTTCTGTGTCTTTGACATATTTGTGAGGAACTTTTGGCTACATGTGTCTGAATGCTACTATCCTTCCCGTCCCACATGATAACTGATCCAATGGTACAGTTTCTCAGTATGACATATATTTCTCATGGGAAGACACCAATTATAAACCTTTGGATGGAGAAACAGACCCTCATTTATGCATAAGTATTGTCAAAAACAATCAAGCAAATAATGAATATTGAATCTGGTTAAGCCTCTAGATGTAACTCCCAATTTAGAAGAAACAGTCACAGGTACATGCTTCAGTCTGCTAAAGAAATGGATTCAACAATGCTAATTTAAAAATGGACAGAATATATAAACAGATATTTCTCCAAAGAAGACATCCAGATGACCAACAGACACATGAAAAGATTCCCAAGGCGCCTGGGTGGCTCAGTCTTTAAGGGTCTGCCTTCGGCTCAGGTCATGATCCCAGAGTCCTGGGATTGAGTCCCACATTGGGCTCCCTGCTCAGCAGGAAGTCTGCTTCTCCCTCTTCCCCTCCCCTTGCCTGTATTCCTTTTGTCACTATGTCTCTCTCTGTCAAATAAATAAATAAAATCTTAAAGAAAAGAGAAGAAAAGAAAAAATTCTCAACATCACTCATCATTAGGTAAATGCAAATTAAAACCGTGAGATATTGGGGCACCTGGGTGGCTCAGTGGGTTAAAGCCTCTGCCTTTGGCTCAGGTCATGTCAGGGTCCTGGGATCTAGCCCTGCATCCGGCTCTTTGCTCAGCAGGGAGCCTGCTTCCTCCTCTCTCTCTGCCTGCCTCTCTGCCTGCTTGTAATCTCTGTCCGTCAAATAAATAAATAAAATAAAATAAAATAAAACCATGAGATATCACCTTAACACCTATTAGAATGGCTAAAATCAACAACACAAGAAAATACAGGCATTGGTGAGGATGTAGAGAAAAAGGAACCTTCTTGCCCTGTTGGTGGGGATCAAACTGGGGCAGCCAATATGGAAGACAGTATGTACATTCCTCAAAAAATTAAAAATAGAACTACCTTATGATCCAACAATCACACTACTTGGCATCTACCCAAAGAATACAAGAATACAAATTCAAAGGGATATATACACCCCCA